TGTTTTTTATGTAATATCCACTTATTGTCAAAATGTTTCTATTTTTAAACTTAGTATAAATGACTGCATAAACAATTGATTGTTCACTGAGTGATGATTAAATTATGTATTTCAGGTCCTTCTTAGTATAGATCGAATCCTACAGTCCTACAGGAATTCATTCGCACCCTGGATAGCTCAGTGGCAACGTTTTTGACTGTGAAGCTGGGTGAAACGGGGTCGAATCTGTCAAGGAGCATCAGTTCCCACAGGATTATAGGTACACCATGCTGACGAGTGCCAAGTAAAACGAAACCTAGATTCAGGGTATCCTGTTGACTACCTCCAACCACCTTCTGACTCCATAAAATTTACATTTCTTTGAGAACTTTTGAATAGAACTAGACTATAATAGACGAACTTAAGGAACTCTAAAATAACCTTGTCAAGTTCTATCCATTTATTTTAGTCAGTTTGAAATCAGATAACATAGATGAATAGTTTATTAAAAGAAAAGAAAACAGTTAGAATCCATATATATTTTCTACATGATTGATGAAGTTGGGATGGTTTACAAGTTGTCTATCTCTATTAGTCATAATACATGGTTATAAGAATTAACTCACTTTAGCTATAGCAACTATTCTACAATGAATTTCAATTATGCTTAATTTTGGTCAAGCCCTTTTACTAACTTATTTGACAGACAATGTTATTCGAACAGTGACAGTTCGTCTATTTCTTTGTACATTTTGTTATATTTGGTCGTTGCTGGTTGCTGTGCCGGAGAAACGTTGACCACTTATACGCGGAACGAGGGACCTCTGCAATTCCCATGATGCGAAAGTAAGAACACAAAGACTGGTATAAGTGAAGATTTATTAGTCACAAAACACTATGACGACGACGAATGATGATGATAATAATGAATGAATCTTCACGTGGAATCAAAACGGATGTAATGTTGAACAAAACTCATAATGAGTAATTCAATAGAAAATTGACTTTTCTTTCCATAATATCATCTTTATTATCACTAGATCACATGAAAGACTCTAGCTTAAATGTTGGTCGTTTAAGTAACACCCGATGATTCATCCTACACCTTATAAATATATGTACTCAAACCCTATTAGTAGCCTTTGCTTTGCCTTGCTGTGCTCTTTCCGATTTGACTATAAATTTACCCATGTATTTGCTCGTATATACGTATTGTCCTATCTGCTTTAAATTCACTTGATTTGCTTATAGTTTTGTGATCTTCGCTATCCGCTAGTAAGCTGTAGTTGTTGCTTCTTATTGCCTTCTGATTTTAAACATCGTTGAGATTTATATTATAACGGTTATCGATGTGATTGATTAACGGTGAAATCGTTGAAGGAATGGCACAATCGTAAATAGTTTGTTAATCTTAACTACATTGCCTCAACGTTATTAGTGCGTAAGTCTACTGTAGGGTGGAGGAAAAGCTGTTTATTGACCACAAGATACTGAATGTAACCAAATCTGAAATGATATTTTTAAGTTCTTCACTCATCAGCATAATTAATTTGTCAAAGTTGTACATACCTTTTGATGATAAGTATCAGGGTTGAAAACTCCGCCTGCAGCTCTTCTAGAGTTACTGTTGCTCCCAAGCCCAGTTGAAGGAGGAGTGTTTGGCATGGGGTTAGCGACCCCATCCCATAGAAAACTTACTCGTTAAAAAACGCTAACCAGAAAAAATAATTCAAACTATTTAAACTGTACCCTGGGACTCAGAAGGTCTTCATTTAGAAGAGTTATGACGCCTCATGGTGAAAGCCGAGTTGTAAATTATAATCAAGGTTGAAAGTATTCGTTTTGAAAAGTCTTACCATAATTATCAGAAGCTTAGTTGTAGATTACCACATACCTATTTCCTCTTCTTAACAATTGTTCCAATGATTTCTGTTATTGTGCAGATACCTGAAATTGACAGATTTCAATTCGACAACACCTTCAAACATACGTTTTGACAATACTAATATCATTGGACTGTTAATCATGTATCTGGAAGTATTTCCAATACATCGATTAATCACTGATTAATAAACAACATGATCTGACTTAATATTGATTTCGAACAAGCAAAAGCAAATGGTGTTCATTTGTACGGATTTCTTTCGCTAATATATTACATCTTAAAACTAGATAACCATAAATAGTTACAGTCATGAGTGATCTTAGATCTTTCAAATACTTAATTGTAATGTCATTACAAACATATACAACTGAACAATATAAAATAAGCTTTGATTAAAATTAAATATAAACAAAAAGCGTGAAATTACCGTTGCATCTTGTGTCCCTATTAGTATATAACGTAATGATACCGCCAATTACAGAACAGTGATTTATCGGCTTGACCCATGACGCATAAAACCTATACGAGCAGTCTAGATTCTTTATCGGTCCTACTCCCTGCCTAACCCTTCCTGTTAGAGTCCAGAACATCAATCTCAGACTCTGTGATAGGAATCATGTATTTCAAACATACTGGGTTTACATACAAACCAAACCGATCATATCACATCATAAAATAGAAACTAACATTTGTACAAGATATTAGCCAAAAATGGTTGTGAATGTAGGAGATAGTAATTGATAGATTGGGCATAACTCATGAATAGTAAGTTGTATAATAACAGTCCATACGTCAGAATGAAGCGTATGATACGAAGAACATGAATATAACTGGTTTAATCGTCTAACAATTATTAAATCAACGTATACATATAGTATTTGTCCATAAAAAGATCCTGACAGTTACCATTCATTATTCTTATCAGGATATAACACAATATTACCAAATATCAAATATTATTCAAATAACTTATAATTCATTATACACTATTGTCAGTATTGAATAACAGATGTGAATTCAACAATTAGCTACAGAATTTACATTTGTACAATATGATTTATGAATAATGATTCGCTACTGATATGACAATCAATATGATGAGTACATATTATTCTACATGTTCTATACAAATACAAAATGGCTATCTAATGCTTTTAGGTTTTTCATACTGGTCTAACTGTGGTGTGTTCTACTTATATTGACATAAGTAGTAGATGATGTTAATCGTGAAGAGAATTTTAGGCAGCAGAGAGACAAGAGGATTGAACAATAAAGAATGGAAACAGAATGCAATTTGTATGAAAATGCATGAACAATGAAGTCTGAGTCATTTTGAGACAGTCGATGAACATTTTGCAAATTAAGCATTTACTACATGATTGTTAGATTTTACTAATAAGTCCTGTAATTTTGTGTCAAATACATTCGATTATCCCTACCCGTGTTCTGTTCACTACGTAACTTTAATCCACTCATTGGATTCAACTATTAAAAATTACTAAAATCTCCAACAACAACAAACTCCCCCTTTCTAAGAATTTTTTATTTTATCATTATTAAAACACTAGACATTAGTTTCTAAGGGGATTTTTTGTTGTTTTTTTTAAAAAAATAATTCATATGTAATTGTTAAGTTTGTCTTACATTGATCCTACTCGTTCCCTTTCTACTCTTTTGCATATTGTCTTATACTACTTATTTACATACAGTAAGCAGTTGTATTCCCAACAATTTTCACACTTACGTTGTAAAGCAAGTTGTAGTGTAATATTCTGAAATGTTCACATATTATTTATTACGTTATTGTACTTATCATTGTATTTATCATTATAATTACTGTATCTTAATCACTGTAGCCGTTATGTACAGTTTTGTGCATTTGTTTAAACGCAACACTTTCCATATTGTTTTCCTCTTGGTTCGATTTTCGGTTGCTCATAAACTGTTATCAAATATAGACACAGCTATCAGCTATCTTTTGTACTATCGTATGTTATAATTATTCTTTATGTTACTCTTACAGAAAGCCTTTTTTATCTCCATACTTGAAAAACGCGTTTAAATGCCTCAGACACCTCACAAGTTGATGTTTATAACTAAATTTTATGTATTATTCAACAAAGAATATCTATTGTAGACAAATCGTTGTTTCGGAATCTCGGTTCCTCGCGTATCTCAATCAGGTGAACTAAATCCTTCGACAGATCTAACCATCATCAATTTTAAATTAAATTTAAAGAAAAAAAACACAATCCGAACATAATACTTTTTAATGAAAATGTCAAATATTATTGATTTAGATAAACCCTTTTTAAGTAGCATATTAGCTATGTCACATTAAAAAAGAATGATTTGTATATCTCATCGAATTATGCATCTTTACATTGATTTTTTTCTTTTTTTCTTTTTATCGTATTGTTTATTGTTGTTGTTCTTTTTGTTTTGTTGTTGTTGTTGTTGGTGGTGGTGGTGGTGGTGGCGGTGTTGCTACAACTGTATAATCTCAATGATAAATACAAAAGAGAAAATTGATTGAACATAAACCGATTAGTTTCTAGAAAAAACAACAACGACAACAACAAAAAAGGACGAAAAACAAACCGGTTTTCTTTTTTCTTTTTTTTTACTCTTGTCAAAATATAAAAAAAGAACCATTTTGTCTGATCTGATTTACTTTAAAAAAAGATTCTTTAATATTTGAATGATAATGACATTGAATTGATCATAGTTTATAGGATTATTTGAATTGGTTACTTGCTTGAACACATTTGGATTACCGGTTTTTTCCATGTAGATATTTCAATAAATTATCTTTTGTTTGTTTGTTTATTTTAATACATCATGATTGTTAATTTATTATATAACTCTATTGAAGTGTATTTGTAAACAAACATTTACAATATTTCACTGTACAAGTTGTAAAAAAAGAAACAGTTCAATGAGAGACATTATGATGATTGACAAATATGTATAATCTATCTCATTAGATGAGTTTATAAATAGTTTACAACCTTCTATTGTACAAGTTAGGAAAGAAGTCGAATTAAAAAAACATTGTAGTTACTGACAAATAGATATCGAAAAGAATATACAATAATCAGATATGAACTTCTGAACTAACAACATCTAATTAATGATCCATTCAACATTCATTGTCAAGATCAATCAAGACGTAAGAAATAAAGAAGACTTGTTGGAATACATTGTGCTGAGAATTATTCTCGATTGTACCATACATCATTGATTGTAATCTATAGATGTTCCGGGGGGTAGGGTGTAAGGTGAGGGGGATTGAAATTTGTTTTAATGAATAAAGGTAAAAATAATGTTTTCATAATTTTACATTTTTCATTGATTGTTTTATGAATGAATTTGGTTTTATTAAGTGAGTATTTTGATACTGATGAAGAAAATTTGTTATTTTTAATGAATCCAATATCATTGGTTTTGATGAAGATGGTGGTGGTGGTGTTGTTGCTATGGTTGTTGTTATTGTTGTTGTTGTTTGAAGTAATTGACTAGTTGTAACTATCTAGAAAATAATAAAAAAAAAAAGAATAAATGAATAAAATAGTTGAATAAATAATTTTGAATAGTTGAATTCATAAGTCAATTTAAACGAGATGACTAAATTGTATCACAAGTCAAGTGCTAATTTGATATTTTGAAGGGGGGGGGTAAAGAAAAGAGAATGGTTGAAGAACAGATTGTATCGAAAAATTGGAAGCACACATGAAAAGAATGAATAGTGACTTGAAATTATTATCGTTCTCATAAGCTAATAACAAAGACAGAAACAATTGAAGAATATATGGAACTCAAAATAATTGTCAATCATACGAACTTCAAGACAGTTCTACTACTGTACGAAGCTGAAACTTGGAGAACTACAACAACCATTATGAAGAAATTACAAGTATTTATAAACAATTGTCTATGCAAGATACTCAACATTCATTGGCCGGATACCATCAGCAACAGCTTTCTCTGGAAGAGAACAAACCACCTTCGAGCTGAAGAGGAAATTAGGAAAAGACGTTGGAAGTGGATAAGACATACATTAAGAAAATCATTAAACTTCATCATGAGGCAAGCGTTAATTCGAAATCTTGGAAGGAAACAAAAAAGAGTAAGGCCAAAGAACATACTGCACCAAGAATTGGAAGCAGATATATTATCGATGAACAGCAACCAGAAACGACTGGAAAGATTTACCCAGGACAGAGTAAAACGGAGAATGCTGGTGGGTGCCTATGCTCCTCCGCGAGGAGTAACAGGCATTATCAAGTAAGTTAGTATGTATGTAAGATAAACGAATATGGGTAACATAAATAAAAGAATGAAAAATCCCGTTCACCTAAAAAGACATTATCATCATTCAACAAATGGATTTATTTCATCGTCTTCATTATCTTCTTTGACTATTATTGGAAAAATAATAAGTCTTGTTTGTTGTTTTTTGCAGGGGGGAATTTTATTAGCGAACAAAAAAGATAAATTATATGGTTCAGCATTCATATTTTAAATGATGGACTATAATCTGTATTGACTCATGATCTCAACCATTGAAATTACTATAATATCCACAAAACCCCTTCTGATATTAACCATCATACGCTCACAAGTGACTGGCTTCAAGAGATATATCCTGAAGTTCCAGTGGAGTTCAACCGGATCTTGTGTGAGATAATAACTCACCCAAGACAATGGTGGATGTGTCGCTCAATTTCGTGGATTAGTTGAAGTTAGACATTAACACCGTTAGATACCAGCTGACTCAATGGTGTAGAGGTTAAGCGTTCGCGCGCAAAAATGATAGGACCTAGGTTCGAATCTCACAAGGCGGGATTTCTGATGCACACTGCTGAGGAGCTCCACGATAGGACGAAACGGCCGTCCATTGATTCTAGGCTTTTCATGTTGGTCTAGCTTCAATCGACTCATGATCTCAACCATTAAAAATTACCATAATATCCACAAAACGCCTTCTGATACTAGTATTCTGTTCTATCTGTTATTTGTGAAAACAAAAAATCGGCGAGACTATAATTTATGGACGAACCAATCATGTATAAGATAACAGGTCTCGGATTTAAGCGCGAAATTCACTCATCCATTTGGCGAAAGAGATTTTTGGCATTATAGCTGATATCAGTCGGTGATGAAAACCGTAAACATAATTCCTAACCCTAACCGTCAAACTGTCGCTCAAATGTCGTCCATAAATCATAACCTCACCGCTTGTTGTTATGGGTTTATTGAATTTTTAAATAGTATCTAACACTGAAATCATAAATGTAAGTTTTATTTGACATTTTAACTATTCACTTTTCACATTGAACCTGGTACATATATGTGCGAACATTCAAATAACCATATCAAGTTAGCATAATGAAGTTCTGAAGAAGCATTGGTGATAGAAGACAAAACATCAGGAATAGATATGATTAACAGGGCAAAAATATTGAAGAAAATGATGTAATAGATATTGGGCTTAAATCTCAATATTAAAATATTAATGCTAATCTATAGGGTACATTCAATGGACAAATCTTAAAACTTGTATTCTAGTTCTCATCAACAAATGATAGTAATATTTTAATTTTTAGAGATAACACTTTCCTCATCTAAATTTCCACGAGTTGAACTTTTACCGAGAGATTCACTTGTCTATTTGGTGAAGACGCTGACAAAATGCAGAGGCTTATGACCACTCTAAGCAACAATGCAAGCATGTTCGGGATGCGATTCTCTCCCTCGAAATGCAAAATCTTACTTCAGGATTGAGTTTCATCGACACCCGAACTAATGATAGGGAGTGAAGTAGTTGAGCGTGTCGACCAGTTCACTTATCTTGTAAGTCTCACCAGCCCTTGTGGTTTGGTGTGTGACGAAATCTCAGCACGGATACAGAAGCCTCGAATAGCTTTCGCCAATTTGCGTCAATTATGGCGTAGGCAAGATATCCGTCTATCAATCAAAGGACTTGTTTTCTGCGCAGCAGTTCGTTCCGTCCTACTTTATGGGAGTGAAACGTGGCCGGTAACAGCAGAGGATATTCGTAAGTTACTAGTGTTCGATAATAGATGTCTTCGAAACATTGCTCGTATATCCTGGGTCCACTGAGTAAGTAATGCAGTTGTTACGAAACGAGTACTAGGTAAGGATGGCAAATCGATTGATGACGTAGTGAAACGTCATCAGTTGAGATGGCTGGGACACGTGTTACGTATGCCCAACCACCGACTGCCCCGACGTACGATGTTCAGTGGTATAGGAGTAGGTTGGAAGAAAGCTAAGGGCGGCCAGATCAAAACATGGCACAAGTCCATAAAGTCATAGACAAGTGGACTGAGCCATGTTGGTAGGTGTAGACTATCTGGTTGGAGACCGCGAGATGATAGCAACCGATGCTTAGAGACCCTGAATGACTTGCCTGAAAATCTTTTGCAATGGCGCAAATGCATCTACTCTTTGTGTTCTCCCAAATTCTAATCTAATGAATTCTTCTTGTCCCTTATTTCTTCTCTTTCCAAATTTATCTCACTGGATTATACTACTTGAATAACATCTTCAAACCCTAATGTTTCCGATTACTGCTTATACTCTAACTACCTTTACCACTATGGGATTAGAATCGACAACTGCATCTCTGTGCTAATGTGATATGGCAACTTGAACTGATGTATGTACGTACGAAGTTCTACGTTGTTGTTGTTGTTGACTGACTGACTCTAACTGATTGATTGAATATTTTAATAGTTTATATTCTTAATCATAAAATTGATTATTCATATTCATACTTGAGGATTTATTGAGGAAGAATTATTATTTGATCCATTACAAATGATCATTGATTTATTTTTGTTATTCCAATGTGTATCTAAGTTATTTTTTGTCGAGTTGAATCTTGTCAAATGTGTTTGATCTTTAGATTGTTCATGATGATCATGATGATCATGATTATGAATAGCACCTAATGAAATGATACGATTATGAAGTTGTTTAGTAGGTAAACGTTGATCTGATTGATCACTATTATAAAGTGTATTATTATTATTATTATGAGTGATTACTGTATGCACTTGATAATGTTGTCCATTTACTTTTAATGAATCATAATTATTCAATGGAACTAATTCTGTTTGATATCGTTTTATGGATAAATTTTCTTGATTGTTCAATAATGAAGGATTTGTTAAAGTATGTTGTTTTAATGATGTTTGATATAAATTAGGCTAAAAAATTAAATAGGAAAATAATAAATGATTACAATTGTTTACATGATTACATAATATATTTATAGAATAGATCCAATGTTCATCTTGTTGTTTGTTCTAATGAGGTATGACAACTTGGACTGATGCATATATATATGTACCTAGTCTTACGTTGTAGCTGATTGATTGACTGACTGACTGACTGACTGACTGACTGACTGACTGACTGACTGACTGACTGACTGACTGACTGACTGACTGACTGACTGACTGACTGACTGATAGGATAGATGAATCACGATGACTACTAGTTTGAAATTTTAAACTTCGAAGTAATGCACACTGAAGTTGTTACCAAGACTTAGTTGACGATATTCACATCTCATTATTATAAGTCATAATTTATTGATTCACGTTTTTAGTTTCTGTTAACTGTAAAATTATAAAGTCCATTGTGTTGAAGATTATATAGAAGTTCACGTGGAGTTGAGTTTGTTTACATATAATTTGGTTAAGCCCTTTTGTTAACTCCTCTTGTAGCTCTTCCAGGGTTACTGTCGCTTCCAAGCTTAGGCAAAGAAGAATGGCTGGGCATGGGGTTAGCGACTCCATCTCGTAGAAAAATAACTCGCTAAAAAACGCTAATTCCAACCTTTTGTTAACTGATTTAACGTACAGTGTCATTTGTACAATAACAACCTATCCATACAATTGCGCTTGTATGAATATGTATGCTTGAGCATTGCTTACTGACTATGTATATATTCATTCTGCCAGCCTCAATGTTAGTCACTCAAATCGTTCGATGATTCATTCAATTCCCTATATATATACTCTTTCATGCTACATGAAATTTTGGTTATCTGTACGTGGTGCAATAATAAACGTAGTCAATACTTCGTATTCGCTTTCTGATTACTACACTGTTGTACATGATGAAGTACAACTAAAGGTTTTGTATTTAAAAATTGTTAGACTACTCTTTTAAACCTATGAATAATTAGTTTTCTAGTTCCCCATCCCCTTCACCATCATCAAGTATACAATTTAATTGAATTAGGCACAGATTGATGTTAATTAGGTAACCATTGAAAACCATAAGGAACTGAATAGATATTTCGTCCTAGTGCTCATCAACCGCCACAAAAAAAACAAGTATTTCAGATAGCATCTAATAAGTTATACTACTAACTTCAATCTATTCACAGTAATCTGTGTATAATCATTACCGGTACTATTATGTGTTATTCAAACTGATTTAAGTAAAATATAACCGGATATGTTTCAATCATCAATTCGCTATATCATTTTCATTTAGTTTTTTTCCTACTTTTTTTCTATTCTAACTTACATCTAAATCATTTTCATCTTTTGTTGTTTTTTGATAATGATAATCATTATTTAATTGATTAATTGATTGATTATTATAATTATACTTAGATCTATTATGATCTGATGAATGTCTTCGATAATTGTGCTGCTGTTGCTGTGGTTGTTGGTGTTGCTGTAGTGGTTGTTGTTGTGGTTGTTGTTGTTGTGGTGGTGGTGGTTGTTTCTGTGATTGATTGTTATGAAATTTAGCTTTAAGATTATTTAATGATGTAGATATTTTTGATTGAAACATTGAATTTTGAATATCGGTTGAACCTTGAATAATTTTTAATTTTGATTAATATTCAATAAAGATAATGATTCATAATTAGATTGATTATTATTATTTCTCTGTTGAATAATGAAAAAGAAGAATTAATTGAACTGTTTTAATGTTTGATAGATAATAAAATCTCAATAATTGAGATCATGAGTCGATTGAAGTTAGACTATCATGAAAAACCTGGAACCAATGAGATGATCGTTTCATCCTATCATGGGTCTCCTCAGCAGTGTGTATCCACGATCCGGCATGCAACGGTGTTAATGTTTGACTTTAACTAATCCATGAAATTGAGCGACATATCCACCATGATCTTCATCAGTGGATTACTATCTCACAACTGATCCAGTTGAACTCCCTGGTCACTGTTTCTTACTAGAACCCCAGGAAATGCCTCTTGAAGACAGTCACTAGTGAGCATATGTCGATTAGTATCAAATACAGAATTGTTATATCCGGACGAACAATTAGGTGAATAGTAACCGCTAGGATCTATTTGTGAATTATTATTGTACGTGTCGTTCAATTTCGTGGATTAGTTGAAGTTAGACATTAACACCGTTGGATACTAATCAGCTCAATGGTTTAGAGGTTAGGCGTCCGCCCATGAGAGCGACTGGTCCTGGGTTCAAATATTCACGAGGCGGGATCGTGGATGCGCACTGCTAAAGAGTTCCACAATAGGATGAAACTGCCGTCCATTGCTTACAGGTTTTCTATGATGGTCTAGCTCCAATCGACTCATGATCTCAACTATTAAAGTTACTATAACATTCACAAAATCCCCTTCTGTACGTATATTTTTATTGGATAACTATTAATTAACTATATTATATGTGTATTTTTAGTGGCCCAGGATCTGGGGCTCCAGGTAGATGTATGAATGATTGCTTTTGAGATATATACATATCATCAATCCATGTATATAATCGTTGGCTGAACTCGAATTAGTGTATAACGAGTTTTAGTGGGAAGTCGTGACCAGTGGAGCTACTGTGTGTTAGGTAGAGACAGGTATCTACCTCAGTACAATGGGAGATCATCGCGCAATTTTATGGATTGGTTGAAGTTAGATATTGACATCGTTCGATACCGTTCATCTCACTGGTCTAGAGTTTAGGTGTTCGCGTGCGAGACCGAAGGCCCTGGGTTTGAATCCCGCGAGTGGGACCTTGGGTGCGCACTGCCCCACAATGGGACAAAACGTTCATCCACTCCTTCCAGGTTCTTAATGGTGATTTGACATCAATCGGTTCATGATCTCAATCAAGAAATTAAAAAGTCAAATACCAGGATGGATTTTGAATACGTATGTTTTGTACAATCGTTGATCGGTAAAGACCATGAGAGAAACGTAGCAAAGGAAGTGAAGAGCGGAGAGAAAAGCGAGTCTAAATGTCTCACAATGAAGAAAATATGTGAGTCAGCTCGATTTAATCACAAGAGAATTGATATTTATAGTTAGAACAAAAATAAGTTACAGATATGCGATGAGTAAGATGAGAAGTGTACACACATATACGTTCATATAAAAACAATCAAGATTGATAAGTGAATAGTTAACAAGGTCAAAACATAACTCAAGAAGAATGGATTAATTGGCCTATCCAGAATCTAGAATAAGCCATATGGGCTTAACATTGTAACCGAAGTTGTCTGACCTATTGACTATTCTTACACGATTTATTATTCTTAAGTTATTCACAATCTATTAGTAACAGTTTCTAACGCTCATAGCCAAGTTTTGGCTTGATCTTGTGTAATAATTATTCTTTGTTTTATGGTATGATACGATCTGGTTTCTTTGTAATATAAACCCAATGTGTCTAAAACGTATGATTCGTACTGAGGAGGCTGTGGTGTTAGCGTTGTAGTCTGGATTGGCTGAGTTAGTAGAGAAGTTACTATCTCAGAGAACAAATAGGAACTCTAAGCTGCTCGTACTAATTTATACGTCATTAATCTGATCGTATGAGTTGGTGACTAGTTAGAGATCATATTATGTGATATATTAACCTGAGCATAATTACATAACGAGAATAATTAATTATTAAAGATAAAAAGAGATGTGATTAAATGTTAACTAACATCATAATTTGTTCAGGAGGTAATTTGAACAGATTAAATTAGATCTAAAAATATAATTTTATTGCTAATACAAATGTCAAAACAGTTCTACTGTATGGAACGGAAACCTGGAGAACTACGAAAGCCATCATCCACAAGATACTGGTGTTTATTATCAGTTTTCTACGCAAATGACTTCAGATTCGTTGGCCGGACACTATTAGCAATAACCTACTGTGGGAGAAGACAAACCAGATCCCAGTGGAGGAAGAAATGAGGAAGAAGCGCTGGAAGTGGATAGGACACACATTGAGGAAAGCGCCCAACTGCATCACAAGACAAGCCCTCACATGGAATCCCCAAGGCCAAAGGAAGAGGAGTGGAAGACCAAAGAACACATTACACCGAGAAATGGAGACAGACATGAGAACAATGAACAACAATTGGATAGAAGTAGAAAAGAAGGCCAAGGACATAGTGTGTTGGAGAATGGTGGTCGGTGGCCTATGCTCCATTGGGAGTAAGAGGCTTAAGTAAGTAAGTAACATATTCGTCAAGAAGTAAGTGAAATTTCTATTTATTCTTTAGAGTATATATGTTAATAGGCAAAGATAGTTAGTGACTAGTAGTGGAATCCAGGAAGCGCGTTTCGTCTTATTTAAGACTTGTCAGTTAGATGTACCTATATCTCAGAGTTGTTGTTCACACCATGACTTGAACTCAGTACCGTTTCGTTCCAAACTCCACCGTATTATCCATTTAGCTACTGAGTTCAGATAAACGCTAATTATTAATACTTGTGCTTCAACTCAATATCGTGGTAATCTGAACAAGATGCCTATATTATCAATAAGAGAATGGTCAAATATAATCCTAAATATCATTGTGAAGTTTCATACAATCATTACAAAAAATGTATTCAAACTTTAATTTACTCTATTTTGTTGAAGATTAGGAAAATATTGATTTGTTAAAGAGGTTTCATCAATTGATTGTTTTATTGGATTTGTATCATTGATTATGGTTTCTTTATTATTTCTATGACTATTATGACTGTGATTACGTGTCATTTCATTGACTGATTTATATGAAATAGCTAAAAGGATGAATTAAAAAGAAAAAGAATATTTTTTTAAATTATTTACTTATTGATTTGAAGAAGTGACATATTTCGGAGGGATCCTTATCACCAGTCTTTATTGTTCTCATTAAGGCAACGTCGAATTTGAAGTTTTCAATATTAAGTACAAGTCAGTTATAAAACTGCAAACATAGTAGTAACAGACATAGCAACAAGACATGACTGCTGAGGAGTCCCACAATAGGACGAAACGGCCGTCCAGTGCTTCCAGGTTTTCCATGGTGGTCTAGCTTCAATTGACTCACGATCTCAACTGTTAAGACATGATTAATCGAAAACCCAACAATCGGAGGTTTTCTTTACGGCTTCATTTGTTTTCTGGGTAAAAAACATTACAATAGTTAAGATTATAAGTCAATCAAAGCTAGGTCATCATAGAAAATCTGGAAGCATTGAACGGCCGTTTCATCCTATTATGAGACTCCTCAGCAGCGTGCACTCACGATCCCGCCCTCGCGAGATTCGAACTCATCATTCATTACGGATCGACTCTCATCATATATACATATGTCAATGAAAACGTGACAAAATAAAACATCCTATCAACTTCATTATCAACATATGAATATTCATTAATTTTGACTACTATTTTTAAGAACACATTTTGTATTCTTTTCTTGTTTCAATACCCAATATCTTTCTAAAGGCCTAGTGAAATTCGTGTGGTTTATTTGAGCTCATTTAGTGTTACAGTATGGTTCTTAGAAGTTATGAACTGTTTCAAATATCATTTTCAAGCTTATTGAAGAAGATATGTAAAGTTATAATTGTAATGATAATTGTTTTCAAATGATGAAAAGTGTTGAAAGAAAATAATTCCATTCCCTATTGAATGACACAAGCCCATGAAGTCACTGAAAAGTAGGCTGAGATATGATGGTAGATGTAGACTATATGGTTGGGATCCGCGAGACGATAGCAACCGATGGTTAGAGACCTTGAATGACATCGCTCAAAATCGTTTGCAATGATGCAGATACATCCATTCTTTGTGTTCTCCCAAATTCTAATCTTCTGAATTCTTCATGTCCCTTTTTCCCTATACTTTTACTACCTCTACCACTATGGGATTTGAATCGACAATTGTGCCTCTGTGCTAATGTGGTATGGCAACTTGAACTGATGTATGTACGTACGAAGTTCAATGTTGTTGCTGATTGACTGAATGCTTTATTTCACAGATTGAAATCATGAGTCAGTTGAAGCTAGACCACCATTGAAAACCTGGAAGCACTGGACGGCCGTTTCGTCCTCCACAAAACCCATTCTAATGAATGCTTTATTGTTTATACTTTGTTCAGAAAGTTAGACTTTTGTTGATAAGTAATGTAAACGATTAATGAAAGAGTTTTGATCACATTCATTTCATTGAATTTACTGTTACACTACAGATTTTAAGAATATTAATTTTATAGTGTTTTTCCAGATGAATTGGTGAACATGCCTAAATTATTTGTTAGATTTTTGCGCTACTTATATCTGTTTAAGTAGTAACCCAAATAAAACTAAACTTACGTTCAATTATAGATTCTTTAATATTATTAGAGATATTATTTGTTGACTGTACAACATTTGGTGGTAATTCAATAATAGATGATGAAACTTTTGAAATTCCATTCTTATACTCATTTGAACTAGTTTTATGCATATTAATGTCAGTTCTACCATTTAATAAATTCTCTTGAATATTTGATGTTGAACAATGTTTTTCATTGTATAAGAAACAATGGCTAGAATTATTAGAATTATTCTTACAATATTCATATCTATCATTTATTCCTTGAAGATAATCATACTCATGATCTAAGGGTAAATTTTCTGGTTGAGATGATATATGACGATTTTCATGTAGTTGTGAATAATTCAAATCAACAATTCTTTGTGAATTTACCTAATTTTTTAAAAAAAATTAGTAAAATACAAAAGAGCAGTTATTAGTCGAGCTAAAGATGAAATGTAAACGACCAGTTAATAGTTAACACTATTGAATCCCGGCCGACCCAATGGTCTAGAGGTTAAGTGTTCACGTGCTAGACCGAAGGTTCTGGGTTCGAATCCCACATGTAGATTCATAGATGCACACTGTTAAGGAGTCCCATACTAAGACAAAACGGCCGTTCATTGCTTCCAGGTTTTTAGTGGTGGTCTGGCTTGTATCGACGAATTATCTTAGTTATGCAGCCAATGATAATAGAACTCACCCTTGTGTGAGACCTCTAAAGGACAGTTACTCACGGCTGACTGCTAACTATTAAGCTTATTCGAAAAATCAAAACTCATTATCTCTCATCGATTTGAAAAACAATATCAGTGAGATATTCCATGAAAATTATGCTAATTGTAAGATAATAAGGTTCACAGTTCCTTAAATCCTAATTAGATTCATTTCATTGGTAGTAATACTAAGAACAGGATTAAATATATGCAAGAATATGTGATTTATCTAAGAAACACAGAAAATATTTCGATCATCTGAATTTGTCTCTCAGGCAACATTAGGACTACGATTAGTGTTTTCTACACGCTCAATGGTAACATCGAAGCTAAAAGATGAATTACCTAGAATGACCACCTCATTTTGTATTTGTCAATTAAACTACTTTTGTGGAACAAGTCAAATTGGTCGAAATTCTAGGGAATTTACATTTTCGTTCTCGTGAATACCTCCCAGTGTGATTAATTAAAGGTCTGGTGAAATAAGTGAACAACTCAATATTGGTCCATTTAGTACAAACTGGTCATAGTGCTAGTATGACCCAGTCCTTTATTGAGTCAGTAAATTTTTTTTCCAAAGGTTGTCAGATAACTGAAGCAGTAACCATCCATATGAAGAAACTGGAACTATACATTCAAAAAAGAAATATCTTGAACCACTTTTTCTTCACCTGATCAAAAACTTCAAGTCCAATTAATTTAATAATAATCTTAGCTATTTCATTTAAATTATTCAGGAAGATATGTTACTTAGACTTAGGAAAGAGTTTCATGAAGTTTCATGATGAATGTAAATGGATATTTTCATCTTTCAATCATTTAACAACTTACATTAATGAAGAGTATTCAAAAGTTTAACGTTTGACTACATGAAGTTAGCTTACCCACCATCTCCACTGCGCGTCGTTTCGCTTCTCTCTATTCCATTCGCTCCATATACAAAATATATGTATTCAAAAGTCCATTCTCATTATTTGACTTATTTAATTCTATTATTGACTAACGCGATTAAAATCGATGATTACATTGTTAGGACCCAAGAAACACAATGAATGAATCCTTTTATGGACCAATACTAAACGTATATTTCTATTGTATAATTACTAACTAACTAAACTGTTCATATTCATGTCCCTCGTATTATGAGTTTTATTTTAACCTATAAACTGCTATTATACGTTTTACCATTCTTGAGTTATAACCAGTTTATTGATTACTACCTCCCACATTCACAGCTATATCTGGCTAATTCTTGTACAAATGTTGTTTCATATTTTATTGATACGTTGTGGTCTGTCTGATTGGTGTATATAAACCCCGTATGTTTGAACTAAATGATACGTATTGCAGAGATTGAGACTTGTGTTCTGGACTTAACTGGCTGGGCTAGGCAGGAAGCAAGGCCAATCAAAACTCTAGGCTGCTCACACGTGTTTTACGCGTCTTTGATCCGATCGATGAGTCACTACTCTTTAATCGGCAGTCGCAAGTTATAACATACATACGGGGATAGGTGACACATATATATATTTCAATAACAATCACTCATTACAATCACCTTCGAGTTAGATCTTGGGCCAATCAATTGGAGAGCTCATCAACAAACATCATCTAATCTAAATGACAACAAAACAAAGGGCCTCCCACTAAATTATCATTAAACAAACATAAACATAAATACTTACCATAACATTTCAAATGAATTACTATAATTAGGTAATAATGAATATTGATTTGTTCCATTAGCAGTAAAATAATAATAATAATTTGATGTTTTCATTCGTGAATTGGAACTGGAATTTACACTGGAACGATTTGAATGTTTTTGTTTATAATGGTTACTATGACTACTACCACTACGATTACTACTACTATTATTATCATTATTATTATTATTATTATATTGATTTAATCGACTATATGATTGTTGATTTGTCATTGTAGTTGATTTAATAATATCTGATTTGGATATCAATTGATTTGGATAACATAATGGAGTAATGGTTAAATATCTAAAACAAAAAAAGATTGTGAAATGTAAAAAGGTACTATTATGTAATCATTTGTAATACTTGGAAATATATTGAAGTTGATTATTATTATTATTAAATCATAACTTTAGCTAGATCATTATAGAAAACAAAACAAACGAATCACTGGACAATGGTTTCATTCTATCAGTGCTACTACTGATTCGGCGGCGAGACTCTAATTTGTGAACGAGCCAATCAGAAGCGTTTGAGCGATTTCAAGGTCACGGAGCCATGTTCAGCACTTGATGCTCACATACGATCGGTTTACAGTGGATTTTAGAGAAGAGGTGATTATTGAGCGGCTACAAGAGATGATACTTCTAGGAAGTTCCTGTACGTGTGACTGCGGTTATCAAATGACTGCAGTAAAGTGTGCAGACTATCGTGATGAGATTGTAGTTCGTTGTTCTTTATGTTGAAGGAAAACGTTTGCTCGAACGGGGACTTTCTTCGCTCGATCGCGACTGAAACTGAGGCAAATCATGATAATAGTTGCAAATTGGATAACAAAGACACCAGTAACACTGGCTGTGGTGTTCGCAGATGTTACTGAAACTTCAGCCGTCCAGTGGTATGAGTATTGTCGTGACATATGTGCACTTAAAATGACACGTCTACAACAATCATTCGGAAGAGTAGGAAGTATTGTGGAAATAGATGAAACAGTAGTGAAAAAGCGAAAATGCAACAGGGGACGTAGTATCAACGAAGATTGGGTAAGTAGCACTTCTGTAAATATACTTGACAGGTACTTGGAATTTATGATCGATCAACGCAAAAAGGGAAATTTTCAGAGGGTCAGAAACCGGCAAGCAAGCACAATAATACCAATTATACAGGACTACGTGCAGCCGGGCACCACGGTATATACGGATGATTAGAGAGCTTATAGATGCCTTCATAGACTTGGGTATGTCCATCATGTCGTAGTGCATAAATGTCATTTTGTCGACCCTACTACTGGCGTTCATACTAACAACATTGAAGCCATGTGGTCGAGATTGAAAGAATTTTTAAGAGCGTACCACGGCTCTAGAGGACGACTATTATGGAGCCATATGGACGAGTTCCTATATCGTATGCATTATGATTTCAGAACATCTGAACCTTTATCAAACCTTAAAAAGTTTTTAAATCACGTCAAAGAAGAATATCCACTGTAGTTCATTAGTTTCTTATAATATATTTTTACTTTATAATAACTGTCTTCTGATTGGCTAATAATTGTCAACGTCATTTAAGATTCGTTCAAGGTTCGTCCATAAATAAGAGTCTCGCCGATTCGACTTATTCGGAACAGAACGAAGGATCAAGGATTCAGAGACTCCGATAGGCTATTCTGATCCGTTGTCTCCGACTCGGCGAACTCAATCAAGAAGTCTTGGTAAGACGCAGAAGTGTAGTCTACAGGCAACCAACAGATACCAGGTCAGGTCAATCAGGCACATAAATCAAGCGTATTTATACAAATATCTATAATCGATATTGTCATGGTAAATTTTTTTAAGAAATTAATCATTAACTTCAGTGGTTAAGATCGTGAGTCAGTTGAAGCTAGACCACCATGGAAAACCTAGAAGCATTGGACGGCCGTTGAAGTTAGACATTAGCACCGCTGGGTTCCGGCTCAGTGGTCTAGTGGTTAAGTGCTCGCGTGCGAGACCAATAGGTCCTGGGTTCGAATCTCGCAGGGGGAGAGGTTGTGGATGCGCATTGCTGAGTAGTCCCACAATAGGACGAAACGGCCGTCCAGTGCTTCCAGATTTTCTATGGTGGTCTAGCTTCAACTGACTCACGATCTTAACCATTGAAATCACTACAATCTCCACAAAACCCATCCGATATCAATCAATAAGTTCATCAATTGACTACCATTCAAATATTTAATCAATAAGATAAAATTACAAAATATGATTTTAGGGGATCTATCGTCCCCAACAGAGCTGCTCACTAAGTCTCATACCAGGAATAAACACAAAGTTCATTGTTTTTTCTGGTTCCTACTAATTATCTATCTATACTTATCAACATTTTAATATGAGCTTAGGCTTAAGATGTTTACATACTGCAACTGAATGTGTTAACAATAAGTTTTATTGTTTGTTATTTTCAAAGAAAGGAGTAACCGATAAAGTTATATCAATCAAAGTTACTTTATTATGAACCTTGAATCCTGGATGGAGTTTTGTAGGATGAGAATAAAGATTTCAATAACTTGAGCTACAATTCACATAAGATAAACATACTATTCAACACTTTACCCCCTCGGGATAACATCTTGGTGTTTACTGGTATGAGTATCAGAATACAACTGCATATAATACATTCAAACAAATTCCAAATAGGATAAAAACTCATATTCAATACTTTACTGTCAATAATCATCTATATATAAAATATTGACAACAGTTTGTCATCTATTCAACAATTTTATAAAGTTCAATTTTCAATAAACATCTTATTATCAGAAAGGGTTTTTAGTGGAGATTGTAGTAATTTCAATAGTTGAGATCATGAATCAATTGAAGCTAGATCATCATGAAAAACTTGTAAGCACTGGGACTCCTCAGCAGTGCTCATCCATGGGCGGGATTCAAACCCAGGACTTACCAGTCCCGCGCACGAGCGCCTAACCACTAGACTACTGAGCCAGATGGTATCCAACGGTGTTAATGTCTAACTTCAACTAATCCACGAAATTGAGAGACAAATCCACCATTATCCTCATGAGTGAGTTACTATTTCACAACTGACCCGGTTGGACGCCACTGGTCACTGCTTCTTACTAGAACTCCAGGATATACATCTTCAAGCCAGTCACTAGTGAACTTATGTTGATTAGTATCATTAGAGGTTTTTTGTGGAGACTGTAGTAATTTCAATAGTTAAGATCATGAGTCCATGGAAGCTAGACCACTATTGAAAAAGTGGAAGCAGTGGGATCTGTATCTTCAAATTGTCGGAGTCCTCAGAGTTTGAGTGCACGATCTATAGGTACTGGATTCGAATCTCGCGGGGCAGGATCGTGGATGCACACTGCTGGGAAGTCCCATAATGGGACGAAACGGTAGCTTAGTTCTCACAGGTTTTCTATGATGGTCTACCTTCAATTGATTCATGATCTCAACTATTAAAATTAATAGTTTATTTTATCACCTAACTAACCTTTTCGATGGCTGATAATCATTCATTGTCATTTTGTTCACTGAATTCGAACGAATCACTGGAGTATAATGAACAGTTGATAAGTTTGAATTAGCCTTAGAATTTTGAGATATTGATCGCATTTGATAATGCTGTTTTGATTGAACTGTTTTAGCTTGTGCTGTTATAGTTGCTCCTGTCGAAGACGTTATAGTCGATGGTAGTGATAATGATGCTGATCGATGAAATACATCATAATTATCATCGTTCACGTTGTCATTATAATCATAATCATTAGTATTACCATTAATCTGATGACTATCGTGTAATTGATTGGCATTATTATTGAACCCAGTCATATTACAATTCGTATTATTATTAATGCCATTAGTTAATGACATTGATGTTAATTTTGGTGGTAAAATTGCCACTTTATCATGATGATCATTGATTGAATGATTTTGTGGCTCTTTATGTAATAGATTCACTTGTACACATACTACATGATTTTTTTTATTAGACTTGGTGTTGTTGTTGTTGCTGTTATCGTCGCAATGACCCTGAAGAGTGTTCTTTTGATTTGATTGTTGCTGCTGTTGCTCCTGGTGTTGATGATAATGTTGAAGATCTTGTCTCTTAATTATTGTTGTTTGATGATTTGAAGATGGATGATCTTTAGTCGTAGATTGTTTTTTATTATGTGAATATGTTGAGTAAGGAATAGGTTGGGAATTCCAGTGATGACAGTTTTTCTTTCGGTAGAATCCGTTTTGTTAATATCATTCTGAACCATGATTGTTGTTGTTGTGTTGGTTTTCTTAGAACTGATCATCTACGGTGTTGATGTCAGTGATGGAGAGAAAATAAGCACATGAATTTAAAAGCGAAACAAATAAGTAACAGAATCGAGTTAAATATTCTACACATTATGAAAAATTCATTTCGTGAAAAAGATGACATCAAGTGCTATTACAAACATGATGGTAATTTTCACTTCCAGATTGTTCAAACCTTCGGGGATACTTCATCTTAAGGCCCATTCAAAAAAATTGGCTTCCATGTGATCTTAAAGAACTGGAACAGTGACCATAGAGCACAGGAGACAACTGTTTGAGTCAAGTCACATACGATTTTTATGTAAGTAGCTTTAAATGCAATATCTCTGAAATCTTTAACTGTTACCATCGACAATGGATATGTGTGGGGCAAGATAAGATATGTTGCTTTAAAATCAACCTCCGCTAACTTCTTAATTACATTGCTGGAAGACAAAATCGTCGGGAATGCTGGTTGTCTTAAGGGCACATCTGATTGCTGTCAAGTTACAGTACAGTCGGCTCCAAAACCTATTCATCAAAGTTTGTATTTACTGTATTCAGTTTGACATTCAAACTGCAGAGGATGATAAAGCCTACCAAACGGATGTTCCATCCAATAAATCTTGGTACTTATACCATATCTTATGTTCATTATGACTGAGTGATTTACTAATTTAAATGTATAATTCATAACATTCAGACCTTAAGAATATTGATCTAGAACAACAAAATCTTCATTGATAGCTGATGTTGAATAAAAAGGCACCATAAAAACCATTAATACTCCATAACTAACTGCTATGTCTCATGTATGTGTACTTCAGAAAAGTACATTACTCCGATTGGAAAAGTTATAGAATTCCAAATCTTACACTTATATGATGAGTAGAATACCCCTCTCATTAAGCTGTAACCAACTGAACCACGGTTTTTATAACTTTAATCAATTCAGAGTCGCAAATGAGAAGACAGAAAACAAATAAGAAGGAATGCTATTTCAAAACAGTGTCAAATATGGTACGAAACTATCAAGTATTTATAGTCTTGTTTTTGTCAAAATCATCATTATAGTCATCTAATCAGCATACAGGGTAGATAAGTATTTATCTAATAAAGAAGTTATAAGTAGAGACTCTGGAATATTCTTCCAAAAGATGATTGGATAGAATATTTTCGACTTTTTCTCAACTTTTAGAACTTCCTCAAGTTCACCCATTAGTTGTCTTCACAGCACTAATGATTAATTTCCGTTAAAATGTTTAATATTCACTATAACAGTATTTACCATAAACGTAAAAACTATCTAAGCTTGTTTGAATATTCATCAATGTTTGATGGTACAGTTTGACAAAAATTGGGCACTGAGAGTATAATGAGGTAATTATATGTGAAAACTATATATGAAACAATCTGATTGGTTGAAATGTAGGATAATTTCAGTGTTTCGTCAAGTAAACTTGTCTAAACTTCTTCAGGGTAGTGATCAAAATCAAAATCATCAATCAAAATTATACTGCATTAATTCAATCATATTTAGATGTTGACTTTAGCAAATAGGATAACATGAGCTAGTTAAATATGAATTATGTGAATAGTTCACAATGTGGAAATAAATGAATGAATGAATTGTGTATACATATAAATATATAAGATTGAGTTATTATTATTCACTTGGTGTTGTTTTACTTGTATCTTCCAACTGTTATTCAGGACTGCAATTGATCAGTCTCTTGTTGGCATATGTGCATCCTATGTGAATTGCCTCGATATAACCTTAAGTCACAAACTTTTTGAACAATAATGGATAATGGCTAACAGTGGAATCCAGGACGCACGTTTTGTCCTATTTGGGACTCGTCAACCGGATGTACCTGCATCCCAGAGTTCATTTTCACTCTGGGACTCAAACACGGTACCGTTCGCTTCAAACATCAACGCTTTATTCACTTAGCTACTGAGTCTTGATGGCCAACTGCTTGTGCAATGAGGAATATTAGGTATCAGTATGTGCAAGGCAGAAAAATTCTTTCTGAATCATTGATATACATGTCAAATGAGAATTGCCCGTTACATAATTGTATTGCTAAAATAACCCACAACAATATAACGATGTATATGATATAAGTAGGTTGAATGAGGAATGGGTCCAAATATTCGTTAACGAATATTTACCTTCTGGTTGCTAGTTGAATATCATCCTTACGGTTCAGGATGTTCTTGTTCGCCCATATATATATGCAGTGCTTCTGCTGTCAATCTTTCTTTATAAGTGTTAAAACCTTTCTGAATTATTTTAATCCTTTCAAAATTAATCTTGCATCCTATTTCTAATCCATGTAACTCTATCACAGACATATTCTCAAGTTTCTTTAGATCACCCAAGGATTTAGGAACATCTTTTCAAATATTATTTGTGTTCATTCAAACTCACATTTAATTGTCTGGAAGTTTCCCCATCATGATAGTTGATCTTATAGACAACATTCTGTTGTTTTTCCTTTGTGAATCTATCTTTAACTTTCACTAATGCTGATCTTAAAGCTAGCCCCCCAAATGCCCTGGTACGGCCGAGAGTGAGAAGAGTCCGCTCTCCATCACGAAATGCTCTCATATGGTCACGCGTATATAGCTTCTGCTAGGAAAGTCCTACTCACTGCTTTCTCGTAGCGGGGATATTGTTTACGAAAATGAGAGGACGAAAAGCGAATGTCTGGTGCTTTAACCGGATTCCAAACCAATGGTGTACATGGGCTTCAGTATCCTGCGGGAACAAATGGCGTATGAACCAATCGTTGGTCACCGGCTTCCATGGGACTGCATCTCCTTACGATGCTTTACTACCTTGTGGATCAGACGTTTAGGTCGGTTGTAATCAATTTGTCGAGACTATAATTTATGGACGAACCAATCAGGTATAACATAATAGGTCTAGGATTTCGGCACGAAATTCATTCATCCATTTAATTATATAATGTCTTAGTATTTTAGCTGATGTCAGTTCGTGATAAAAAAACCCAAATCTAATTCCTAACCCCTAACCATCAACTGTAAATCATAATTCCAATTCTTCACACTGGTTTATAATCATCATTTAGTTCTAGTTAGTTGGTAGACATTCTCAAGATCACTTCAGCGTTAATCAAAGGTTATCCACTAATAATCTTTAAAAGTACATCAATATCTTTTGAATATCACTTACTTGATATAAACGATCACGATATTCAGAAACAGTTAACTGAATATTGTCATCTAACGGTGGAGTAACATGATGATTCATGATCATTATTTCATTTGGGGAGTAAAATCTTTGAAATGATACCGAAAGATAAAGAGAAAGAAAAGAAAGAAAAATCAAATAAAATGACATAAATACAACTTCAGATTACATAATATTATAGTGTAGGGCCAGTGAAATGTCACTGAGCCCTAGAAAAAACATCCAGCAGTTGGATCATTGAATATCAAATAGATCATCGATCTCTGTCAAAGTCAAGAACAACTAACACACATCAGTTAATCGTATGCCATGGACTGGTCCATGAGGTGGTAGTCTCACTAATCCGAGTAGGCTTTCAATCATTCGACATAGATCACCTACGTTGGTAATCTAAACTGCTCAGCAATACCCGGAGGATTAATATTAATGGTTTGGCCACCTTCGGTGCGCGACTACTCCCAAAATGTTTAGTACCGAGTCAAACCGCCGCTGAATCTGGTGAACTAGTATTGTATAGCCAGTGAAAGGTCACTGAGCCATAAACAAATCATCTGATAGTTGTTTCACTGAATATCAAAAAGATCATCGATCCGTGTTAAACTCAGGAACAACCAACACACATCAGTTAATCGTATGTCATAGGCTGGTCCATGAGGTTGTAGTCTCACTAACTTGAGTAGGCCTTCAATCATTCGACATGGATCATCTACGTTGGTGATCCACAATAAGGATTATTTGTCAATGATAGGTATTCATTAACGAAACTTATCTGAAGTAGTCTGAGTCGGTGTTAAGTTATAGGTTTTTTTTGAGGTAATCGAATGAAGCATCCATTATTTTTGTAGCAATTAGCATTCTGTTTACTTGCCTGCATGATTTATCCTAGTCAGTTAGCTACAAAGTAGGACCAGGCACATGCCTCTAATAGCACTCAAGATCATTGATTTGTCCTGACCTACAAACAAATAAATTATTCTAATCCTTCCAATCATTCTGTCATTTGTACATGTGAATTTACATACGTGTATGTATTTATTTACTTACTAGTATATCATTTATGCTTAGTAATACTGAGTCACTCATTATTCATCTACTATTCATCTTTGCCTCTTCCACTTCCTAACTCTTTTCATCTGTTTGTATTAATGGAAGTACCAAGTATATGCATCCCAAAACCTTCTTGTATTTGACTTGTTTTATTCAATTATTTGCTAACGAAATTATGTTTATAAAAATATCCAAGGTTAATTCAGAAACCATATTTCATAATTCCTCATCTATATCAAATGGGATCGACAATAGTAAGTAAAATTCTATTAAAGTTAACTATACATATGATCCATTTGTGAATGAGATTGAAAGTCAGTCAGTCAATCAGTAACAACGTAGAACTTTGTACGTACGTACATCAGTTCAAGTTGCCACACCACATTAGCACAGAGATGCAGTGGTCGATTCAAATCCCGTAGTGATAGAGGCGGTAAGAATATAAGCAGTAATCGGAAAGGTCAGGGTTTGAAGATGTTATTTAAAGGGTATAGTACAGTGAAATAAATTTGGAAAGAGAAAAGAAGAGACAAGCAGGATTCAGGAGATTAGAATTTGGGAGAACACATTTTTTGTTGAACCCAGACTTTCTGATGATTTTCCTGTTCAGTTAGTGAATGAGTACTATACATTAGAGAGCAATTTTCATCTAAGCTTTTATTTCTAGACTCTGAAATCATCGGCAACAGTCAGTTATGAAGGAGTTAGTTTAAAGCAGTCTAACATACCATATGAAAAGTTCAAGTATAATAACAGTTAGGAGTTTAAATTAAATTCCAAATGATAATTAGACAATCATAGAGTACTCACAAGTTGGACGGAAAGATGATCAAATATACTGAATAAGACAAGTCTATAAATAACCTTAGACCCAACTTAGTAATGGAAAAAATAATAATGATTCTTATTCCGTCTAATGTTCCTTCTTACTATCGAGTGGTAGATTAGTAGTCAAAGAAGTTTGAACTCCATTCCAATAAGATTTGGACTTAATGTCAACATCAAGACACATTCTTCTGACGAATCTCAGATTAGACGAAACACGTCATTAGTCAGATTTACTACAATAAAATGGTCAGTTTTCGTTCTTTTTTAAAAAAAAAATGGATAGAAAGTACCTACCTGCGAACATATGGATGTTTTAAAGCTTCCAATGCTGTGATACGTTTGTGTGGATTGAAATGTAACATTTTATACAAAAGATCAGTTGCTGTCTTATCAACATTTATTAATAATTGATCTAATGAACGGCGATTTCTAATTGAATGAAGTAAAGAAGAAAAACAATCAAATGTGTATTAAACATCAAAACAAAAGGGAAATTACGATAATCACTTTGACAATTTATATAAACCTTCTATACAAACAATAATTATAAGCTAACTAGAAACCATTTCAGAAGATGCCACCAAAAACTCTGTTATGGCCAACAGTGGAGAGAGTCAGTTCTCCATCTCGAAATGCTCTCACATGACCACGCGTATACGGTTACTGTCAGGAAAGTCCTACTCACTGCCTTCTCGTAGCGGGGGTGTTGTTTACGAAATTGAGGGGACAAAAAACGAATGTCTGGCGCACCAACCGGGTAAGTGGATACGGAGGATCCACCTAGAGGAGTTGGAAGACCCTGATTCCAAACCACTCGTGCACATGGGCTCCAGCATCCTAAAGGAATAAATGGCGTATGAACCGATCGTTAGTCAATGGATACCATGGGACTGTATCTCCTGACTTTGTTTCACCACTTTGTAGTTCAGACCTTTAAATTGAAGTCTCTGGGTGTAGCCACCTAAGAAAACCGCCTGCTTCAGTCTGAGCACTCAAGTAGTATCCCAGCCCTAACTAACTGTTTTATCATAATATGAGACTCTTTAACAGTTCGCATTGACTAAACTAAGCATGATTGAATTCAAGATCTTCTGTGTTACTCTACCTCCATACTATTGAACCGACATCTAATAGTGTATATGTTTACTTTCAATCGATTCACAATATTATGCAACCATCTTCTGTTGTTTATGATGAATAATTGTTATATATCTAATCTCCTGGATATACATCTAGTAGTTACCAAAGTGGTACTATACACTGCTTATATCTGTCAACATAAATAGCCTATACCAATGGCTTAAAACATAGTTTACTAGGAACTGTAATACGAATGATTATGATATTAACATTCATAATTGTCTATGATATGCAACGACTCTTCTAACTTTCTATACATAATGTTACTTTATTTTATTTTTTATTTTTTATTTCAACACATAGATATTGGTACAAGGAGGCACCAAATACATATGCGCCACACAAATCTCATTCGATATGTGTGAGGGCTGTGATACTGCTCGGGTGCCCAAACCGAAGTAGGTGGTTTACTTGGGGGTCACACCCGGAGCCTTCGACCTGAAGGTCTGACCCACAATGCAGTGGAGCGTCGCAAGGAGATGCAGTCCCATGGTAGACGGTGACCGAAAATTAGTTCATACGCCATTCGTTCCTGCAGGATACTGGAGCCCATGTACACCATTGGTTTGGAATCCGGTTAAAGCACCAGACATTCGCTTTTCGTCCTCTCATTTTCGTAAGCAACACCCCCGCTACGAGAAGGCAGTGAGTAGGACTTTCCTAGCAGAGGCTATATACGCGTGGCCATGTGAGAGCATTTCGTGATGGAGAGCGGACTCTTCCCACTCTCGGCAGTACCAGGGCATTTGGGGGCACATAATGTTACTAATCAATATTGTCAAGAACAAAATCAAAAGGATATTATCTTAAGGCGAATCACCCTAGTACATTGATAAATACCTATTTATTTACATAGATTTCTGCATAGAAAAAGATTTATAGGTGATATTTATCACTGATTGACTTCAGTTGATGTAACTATTGAAAGCAGTCGAATGCTAGACAGTTAATTTATCCTAATATGGAACTTCTCACGAAACCTTGCCAGGGATCAAGCTAAGTATTTGCTAAGAGATCCGAAAGTTCTTAATAGTTCAATAATTAGATTAGAAGCAGACTTTAAATTTCTAATGTTAATATATAAGTCCACTAGGTGGTTAACATGTTTAATTAAGTAGTTAAAACAAATCTTAAACACAAATATGTATTCTACTATTTCTACAAATGAAGAGTAGATGATTTAGAACTTAAAGCATAACACCAATTGTAATCAAAATGTATAATAGAAAAATTGCAGACGATCTGACTTTTCTATCGCACATGCAACAACAAATTCAGAAGAAGACGACCAGTATAGCAGCAGTCTCAGCAGAAGTAGGTCTCAAAATACACAAAGGGTAAGGCAAGATTCTCTCATACAACACAGCATGCACCAATCGAATCATACTTGATAGAGAAGCTTCGGAAGATTTAAAAACCTTCACATATCTGGCCAGCATCATTGATGAACACGGTCGATCTGATGCAGATATGAAGGCACGAATCGGCAAAGCAAGAGCAGCATATTTACAACTGAAGAACATCTGGAACTCAAAACAACTGTCAATCAACGCCAAAGTCACAATTTTCAATACAAATGTCAAGACAGTTGTACAATATGGAGAGGAAACCTGGAGAACTACGAAAATCATCATCAAGAACAAGAAGTTTGTGCTGGCGATGTCGTTCAGAAGAACGATGAAAGCTCCACGACCAACCATCCAGCTCAGAGAACAAAACTCCATCAAAGAACACACAAGTGTTTGGTAACAGTTGTCTACGCAAAATACTTCGGATCCGTTGGCCAGTCACTATTAGCAACAATCTACTGTGAAAGAGAACAAGCCAGATTCCAGTGGAAGAAGAAATGAGGAATAAGAAGCGTTGGAAATGGGTAGAGCACACATTGAGGAGCGCATCGAACTGTATCACAAGGCAAGCTGTCACTTGGAATCCTCAAGGCCAAAGGAGGAGTAGTGGAAGACCAAAGAACACATTACGCCGGGAAATGGAGATAGACATGAGTAAAATGAACAAGAACTGGATAGGACTAGAAAAAAAGGCCCAGGACAGCGTGTGTTGGAGAATACTGGTTGGTGGCCTATGCTTAACTGGGAGTAACAGGCGTAAGTATGTAAGTAAGTAAGTCAGATACACAACATTTTAATAATCATCTCTTTTATGTAATTAAGGAAACAAGTAAGAAAACCTCAGAAAAACTGTGTTATTACAAGAGGTCGAAATCATAACACTACAATAACTCTATTTATATTACTTATAAGTGAGTATTACTTTGGGGTAAATAGCAAACTAAAAGAGAAAAGAATCAATACGTTTATGGTGAAAATCAGTAAGGTATTATGGAATCGAATAAAAGAATATTACTGACAGCTTTAATACATGTTAAAACCATCATTTATTAATAAAACTCAAAAGCTAAGCAAATTTGTAATCTTTCTAACATAATTATAAACTTCGAGTTATTATACAAGTCAAGTCTGTTCTACGTTCACTGTCCTTATTCACTTCCCTTCAGCTCTTTTGTGTATTGTTTTTTATACTACTTACTAATATTCAGTAAATTGTTGTATTTCTAGCAATTTTTACGCTTATGTTGTAACTCAAGTTTGTCGTGTATTACTCTAAAATATTTACATATACTTATAACATTTATGGTAATTATGATTATAATTACTTTATCTCAGTCATTATAGCAATTATTCACAATTTTGTGCATTTTTATTTAACCTTTGTTTAAACGCAATAGTTTCTATATTTTTTGACTGAGATCATGAACCGATTGATGTTAGACCACCATTGAAAACCAGGAAGCACTAGACGGCCGTTTCGTCCTATTGTGGTACTACTCAGCAGTGCGCATCCACGATCCCGCTCGAGGGCTTTGAACACAGGGCCTTCAGTCTCGTGCACGAACGCTTAACGTATTTGACCACTGAGCCGGCATCTAATGGTGTTAATGTCTAACCTCAACCAATCCACGAAGTTGCGCGATCACCTTCCATTGTACTGTGGTAGACACCTGTTTCTACCCGACATTGATTAACTCCACTGGTCATGGCTTCTCACCAGAATTCCGAGAATTTTCTAACAAACCTAGTCACTGGAATCTATATTGTTTTACTCTTGGTTCGGTTTTTGATGGTTGATAAACTATTACCTAGTTTAGACACAGCTAACAGCTGTCGTTTTTGCACTATCGGTGCCTTTTTTTATTTCAGACAAAAAGACTCGGTAAACATCACAGATACCTTACAAGTTGAGGTATGTAACTAATTTTGGTTATACTATTCAATGAAGAATCGCTGTTTTAAACAAATTGTTGCTTTATGAACATCGATTTCGCGCATATCTCAATGGAGTGATTTGTAGGCTTCGATAAAATTAACATTCATAAATGAATAAATTAGTGGGAATAAAATCATTAATGAATTACCTGATATGTGCTTTTTGTAAAATCGATGAACTGTATGGACTTTTTACACTGGCTAAATCTAAAGATAAACCAAAATATATAATTTAATGAATGTCATATTTATAATAAAATGTATGTTTCATCTGATTTGGGACTTGTCAGTTGGATATTCGAATTTAAGCGCTAACACATTATAAGCAAAGATGGATAGTGACTAGCAGTGGAATCCAGGACTGGCATTTCGTCTTATTTAAGGCTCGTCAGCTAGATGTATTTGCATCCTAAATAACAATGGGAAGATACAAGTAAAACAATACCCAGTGAATATAAACTTCACCTAATTGCACAAGCAGGTGACCATTAGGACTCAGTAAATAAGTGGAGAACGCGGTGGTGTGTGAAGCAAACGATACCGGGTTCAAGCCCTGGCGTGAACATCAACTCTGAGATGCAGGTACATCCAGCTGATGAGTCCCAAATAGGATGAAACGCGCATCCTGGATTCCACTGCTAGCCATTATCCATCTTTGTTTAAATAGCTTGTGAATTAAGGCTATTTTGAGGCAATCCGCAGAGGATGTACATATGACAACATGAGACTGACAAATTGCAGTCCTAAATAAGAATGTGAAGATACAAGTAAAACAACATCAAGTGAATATAAAGCTAATACATTATCTTTTAAGCTATTGACTCCTAGTAGTCACTGACTTGTCTGATAGGGTGTTATGTTTATTCTTAAAGACTCAGACTGAATATCACCATTGAGATCTAGATACGATATTCTAATGATTGGTAATTAACTTTTTGTCAGTCGTTGTTACTAAAATTAGCTATATCAAGGTAACTCATTCAAGATACAAATACATAGAATATATTCACTGAAACGTATTGTAATGCTTCTGGATTTCTTTTATCAAAACTTTTAAATAAAATTTACTTTCAAGTTATTTGAAGCTATTTGATAAGTCTTGCTAAGTCGATGCCAGTAACCACCAGGCATAATCTACACAGTGACTTGAATGTGAAAGAAAAAGCGCGAAATATGGAAGAAAACGCTTTACTGCAAATGTTCGTTTATGTACACTAAAATCTAGCAGTTTTATAGCATTTTTGATGTTTTTGGTTTTCCGGAAAATTCTGGAATGCTACTGAACATAGTAGCAGTATAAGTAATCATTTTATCAGACACTCGACATGTGATTTTTCACTTTCTATGTATTTCTGTCAAAATTTCCAGTGAAAGCTCACTGGATAAAATGCTTCTTAGTGTTTCCAAAGCCTTTCTTGACTTTTTCTCGAAGAGTTTTCTGGATCTCTTCAACATTATTACATGATCCTTCAACCAAAATAAGCAAAAAATTAAAAGCTAATTTGTTTAAATTACTTACCTTCTGGACTAGGTTTAGGTAAACCACCCATAATACGTTCTATTTGATCTAATGTTGATGTACCAGGAAATAATGGTGTACCAATTAACATTTCACCTAATATACAACCTAAACTCCATATATCAACACCTTTTGTATAATCATGACATGCTAATAAAATTTCAGGTGCACGATACCAACGTGTTGCTACATATTCAGTTAATGCAGGTAGTAATGTTTTACAATTGATTTTACCATTACCATTATCATATTTCATATTACGACCTTTTAATGAACGTGCTAAACCAAAATCACATAATTTTACTAAACAATCAGAATCCAGTAGAACATTTGATGGCTGAAAATTTGTTCATAACAAAAATACATAAATTAGTGAATTGAAAAAGAGAAAACTGAGAAGAAGGTCATAAAAACGGTTAAAATTGGACATTTAGTAGATGGATAATATTATAGTTAGTAACATACAACACTACTATTACTACGGTAGTGAACAAGAACGTAAATGAGGGAAATCGATATTAACAACGTTGGATGCCGGATCAGTGGTCTAGAGTCTAAACGAATCCGATAGGTCCTGTGTTCGAATCTCGACGGGCGAGATCGTCGATGCACACTGCTGAGAAGTCGCACAATAGGACAAATCGGCACACACCATACCATCAATTCATTAGATCGGTTTATCGTGAAATAATTACATTAATTTATTTACATAGATAAACTTAGTTGAAAGTATCGTCAAAGACATGAAGATGTAAGATCCATACTGTAGATATGGTTGTGCAATGGCTTATTAATGTTTAATAACTATTCAGTTTATCTGTTTTTAATCAAGTCCATGGAATTGTTAAAGAACTTTTCAACAGTGTCATATCTGGAGGATTCATAGAAATACTAACATTTGTTAGTTTAGGTTGATATAATGAACAGATCAATGTTAGACTACTAATGAAAATCTTGAAGCGCTGGATGTCCATTTCGTCCAAGTATGGGAATACTCTGCAGTGCACACATACGACCCCACACACTGGACTCCAACCCAGAACCATCGGTCTCACGCACAGGCGCTTAACCTCTAGACCACTGAGCCGGCTTACTTACTTACGCCTGTTACTCCTCGTCGAGGAGCATAGGCCACCCACCAGCACTCAACATCCAACCCTGTCCTGGGCAATCCTTTCCAGCTCTTTCCAGTTGTTATTCATTCTTTTCATATCTGCTTCTATTTACCGACGTAATGTGTTCTTTGACCTTCCTCTTTTCTTCTTCGCTTCATGATTACAAGTTAGCACTTATCTTGTGATACAGTTTGGTGATCTCCGTAATGTATGTCCTATCCATTTCCATCGTTTTTTCCTAATTTCTTCTTCAGCTGGAAGCTGGTTTGTTGTCTCCCACAGTAAACTGTTGCTCATGGTATGCGACTAATAGATGTTGAGTATCTTATATGGACAACTATTTATAAATACTTGTACCTTCTTGATGATGGTTATAGTAGTCTTCCAAGTTTCAGGTGCATACAGTAGAACTGTCTTGACGTTCATATTGAAGATTGTGACTTTGGTATTGGTTGAAAGAGAGTTGTTTTGAGTTCCATGTGTTCTTCAATGGTAGGAATGCTGCCTTTGCTTTTCTAATCCTCGCCTTTACGTCTGTATTAGATCCTCCTTGTTTATCGATGATGCTTCCCAGGTACGTGATGAATTCCACATCTTCCAGAGTTTCACCACCACACTGAGTCAGTATGGCTTCATTTTTAAACACTTAGAACACCTTCGTCATCATCATCATGTGTGATCAGATCACGTTTATTAAGTCCAAGTTTTAAATAAACCACAATTTATTCCTTTAACTATTGTTCCATTTCAAATGAGTTGTTGAACTCAAAAGTCAAGTTAGTTTTTTTATAAATTACAAACACCTGAAAGTTCATAAAAAGTTACTGGCATTTATTCAATGGATAAAGAATCAATTTTAACCAATCAGTAAATGGTTCAGACTTAGTGCGATACTCTTCCATTTACTGAACTATACGGTATGATTAGCTTTCACTGACAGTATACTTTGACTCAAAATCAACTATATGATATTGTTCTATGTAAATGAATGATATATATATATATATATATATATATATATATATATATATATATATATATCACCTGTATAACTTTAGATACTCAGATACTTCTAGAAACCATGTGAAATTCTTATATTTTATCAAATCACTTAAGATATGAAGCAGAACACTAGAATTTACCGTTACTAAAAACTACAGATTATAAATTCCTACGGATATTGAAGTTAAAAACATCAACATACCATCAACAAAACGCCTTTTTTAAGTTAACTCAAGTTATGTTCAAATACTTCACTCAATAGCATGCATTACCAATAACAAAATCAGATATTTTTTAACTACTTATGAGTAGTTAAACTAATTAAACAAAATATACTCACCTTTTGGTCTCGATGTATTACTTCACCTGAATGTAAATAAGCTGTTGCTTTCAATAATTGATACATGATATATTGTTTATGTACATCATTTAATATATTGCCTTTTTTAATTACATTATGTAAATCTGTTTCTTTAATAAAGATATATATATGTGGAATGATAAAAACAATATCTTACCCATAAATTCAAATACTAGGTAGATATCTTTATCACTACTTGCACGTATTACATTATATAATCGTACAATATTTGGATGATTACCGAAGTTTTGAAGAAATGCAATCTCTCTGAATGTTCTCTATGAATAAAGAAGATGAAAGGAGATAAAATGGGGGTGGGGGGGATAAAGGAAATACACTTCAGTTAACAATATACTGTATTTCTCTAACCTACCTGTGCATCAGTTTGATTGCGAAATGCATCGAAGATTTTTTTCAATGCAATAATTTCTTTTGTTTTTTTATTCAATGCTTTCCAAACTATTCCATAAGCCTTAAATATGAAAAAAAATCAAACGATTAAATGTAACAGCTATATTGTTTTAGAATATTTTGTTTCCAAGGAATGAATACAAACATGGTGGATTAGTGATGAGATTGATTCACGAAGTGTTTATTCATATATTCGATTTTAAAACATACTTACCATGAAATAACTATTGACATTATCCCACTATTAAGTCAAGTACAAGTTGAATGGGATTTGAATCTTAGACATTGTAGCCGAAAATTGCACGCTCTAACTACTAAGCTGTTGCATTACAAATTAATATAACTAATAACCAGTTATATGTAATCACTAAGGTACGTTCAACCCTCAGCATAGAAAAACAATAACAAGTTAGGTATATAAGATTGATAATAGTAATCATTTTTATGATATCTTATTACAATGTAACTATTACTGAATAGCTAAAAGTACGGAGCTGAAACTTGGAGAACTAAAACAACCACCATCAAGAAGGTACAAGTATTTATAAATAGCTGTCTACGCAAGATGCTCAACATCCATTGACTGGATACCATCAGTAACAGTCTACTGTGGGAGAGAACAAATTAGTTTCCATCTGAAAAGGAAATTAGGAAAAGACGATAGGAATGGATAGGACATACATTACGCAAATCATCAAACTGCATCACGAGACAAGCGCTAATTTGGAATCTTGAAGGGAAGAGGAAAAGTAGAAGGTCAAAGAACACATTACGTCGGTAAATAGAAGCAGATATGAAAAGAATGAATAACAACTGGAAAGAGCTGGGAAGGATTGCCCAGGACAGGGTTGGATGGTGATTGCTTGTGGGTGGTCTATGCTCCTCGACGAGGAGTAACAGGCGTAAGTAAGTAGGTAAGTAAAAGTGGTATCCAGAAATTCATGGATTTGATTTCTTAATTAGTCACTACTAATTAAAAGCTTATTTGTAGCGCATTAAAACGAACTGATTCTTTATATATCTATGTTTACTAGTCTTAGATTTATGGACTTTCCACTAAATCAAATCTACCTCTCTTGATATTGTTTACTTGAATCTTAACATTGAGATTTAAGATTGCAACTGATCAGTCTCATATTGGCATATATGCATCCTGTGTGTATTGCCTCGATATTGCCTTAAGTCACAAGCATTCTAAGCAAAGATGGATAGTGGTTAGTAGTAGAATCCAGGATGCGCGTTTCGTTTTATTTGCGACTGGTCAACTGTATGTACCGGAACCTCAGAGTTGATATTCACTCCGGGGCTCGAACTCAGTACTATTCGCTTCAAATACCGTCGAGTTATCCACTTAGCTACTGAGTCCTTATAGCCACCTGCTTGTGCAATTGAGTGAATTTTTAAATTCAATTGATATTGTTTGTTTGAATCTTTCCATTAATGTTTAGAATTCCAGTACTAGACACTGGGACTCGAACTTAATACTGTTCGCTTCATACGCCATCACGTTATCCACTCATCTACTAAGTCCTGATAGTTACTTGCTTGTGTGATGAAGTAAATTTAAATTCAAAGTGAACATTAACTCTGAGATATAAGTACATCTAGCTATAGAGTTCCAAATAGAACGAAACGTTAGTCCTGGATTCCACTACTAGCCATTTTCCATCTTTGCTTATAAAGGTTTTGAATTAAGGCAATATTGAGGCAAATCTACTTCTTATTAAATATTGTATCTAATTAATTAATTATTAGCTACATAGTAACAGATAACTTATTTTATCAATGGTAATTGTAAATTTGATTTATGATTCTCTTTTAATGTTGACACTAATAGAATAGAATATTCATTGTTCTCTATTAATTCATTGATGTACTTAAACACAGTTTCTGATAAATGGGTTCTATTTGAATGCTTTGTAATAGGGTTTGAAAGTTATCTCATCTATAGTAATAAGATTTATTCTATATAGACAATAGATATTATTATTATTATAGATGGGTGAAACTCTACTATTCATATCCATAGTGTTATTAAATTTGTTTTGTATTTATAACTTTAACAGACTGTTCTCATCTTACTTTAAATGTGATTTTAGCCATCAGTCTATGGATTATATGTGAGTTATAATCCTCTGTCAGTAGAGTCTTAGATAAACACTGTCTGTCAGTCAGTTAATCTGTAACAACGTGGAACTTTGTACGTACGTACGTACGTACATCAGTTCTAGTTGCCACATCACATTAACACAGAGGTACAATTGTCGATTCTAATCCCATTGTGGTAGAGGTAGTAAAAGTATAAGCACTAATCAAAAACATTAGGGTTTGAAAACGTTGTTCAAGGTGTATAATCCAATGAAATAAATGTGGAAAGCGAAAAAATAAAAGGACACGAAGATTTCAGAAGATTAGAATTTGAGAGAACACAAAAAGTGGATGCACTTGCTCCATTGCAAACGATTTTGAGCCATGTCATTTAAGGTCTCTAACCATCGGTTGCTATCGTCTCGCGGTCCCCAACCAGATAGTCTACACCTACCAACACGGCTCAGTCCACTTGTTAGTGAATTCATGTATTTGTGTCATGTTTTGATCTGGCCGCCCCTAGATTTCTTTCAATCTACTCCTATACCACTGAACATCGCACGTCGTGGCAGTCGGTAGTTGGGCATACGTAACACTGTTAAAGAATTCCGTTCTAGGACAAAACAGGTATCCATTAATACCATAGTTGTGGAATTAGTAAAAGTATCACTACAGTAGTTAAAGTTGGACATACACAATCTGATTTGAGGAAGAATAATGAAATTGTGAAATAAAATAATATAGATCCATTTAGAAACTCAAGATCTAAATGAAAACAAAGAATGAGTATATCTGCTTGTTTTATTATCGATTCTGAAGAATATTAATCAATATTTCCAACTATTGTTCATGGTAATTGTGTGAACCACAAACATGTAATCAAACCTGAACGCGGCTCAATACAACAGTGAATGAATGTATTAACAAATGTAATATTGTGGTGTGTGTGTGTTACTGATATCGACAGATATAAGTAGTGTATATTATCGATAGAAAGTAAAATGCCTAATGGCAGAAGGTCAAACAGATCAAAGAATAGAGAACTATAGAATAGTGAATGATTGGTGTGGAAACGAAGGAACAATGAAGTCTAAGATAATTGATTGACATTTTGCAAATGATGTATTTATGGTATGTGTTGTTACTTTATGACCCGCTTTTTACCATGTAATGTTTTCGTCAGTCGAAATACAACTTATTCACTTTTGTACTGTAATAAGCCAATGACGTTTGACCGGTCTGATCAACCAAGCGTCCTTATTGGTCCTCTGCTCGTCTAGCCCGTCCAGTTGAATCTAGAACACTAATAACAGTTTCCACTATACGAATCGTTTATTTCAAACATACTTGGTTTATACACCAACCAAACAGACCGCATTGTACCATGAAATAGGAAGTAACATTCATACAAAATGAAGTCAAAAAGCGGCTGTGAACGTGGGAGACGATAATCAAATAACTGAGTATAACTTAACAACAGATCTCGAAAGTTACTCAGAATTTACTCTTCACTTGAATATAACAGTATGATTCTTAGATTTTACTAGATGATTCTATAATTTTATATTCAAATACATTTGGCTATCCTCATTAGTATTCTCATTCACTACAGTTTCACTTAAACACAATCTAATCTATTTAAGAATGATCTATTTCTTCAATGAATTGTCTTTGTAAAACAAAAATCATAATCATTTCATAGATTTCCAATGAGTTGTTTTGAAACTTTTTCGGATACTTCCATAAAGTAATAACATCAATTTCAATATAGAAATGTAATGCAACCATTGTGAATCATTGTGAAGAAACTAATCTCACAAACTGTGTTTCATATACAAAACTTTGATTTATAATGCATAATATCACCAACAATACAAAGGAGGTATATGATTTGATAATGAATAAAATCAAATAGATCTAGAATGATCTATTCTACAGTTTGTAGTTGGTCATTATCATACAGTTTAGAATCGAAGTGCTGAATATCATTTATAATATTGAATTTAATCTAACTCTACATGCTCAATACATAATTATCAGTGATAGGCAAAATATAAAATTAGATTGGTTTATACAAAAACAGTTTATGAGATCTCTTTCATTTTCATGGTTCTGATTTCCTATATAATTCTGTGACCAATAGAGCTAATCCGTGTCAGGTTGAGACAGGTATCATCTACCTCAGTACAATAGAAGATTATAGCACAATTTCGTGGATTAGTTGAGGTTGGACATTAACACCATTGGATGCCGGCCATCAGTCAGTCAGTCAGTTACAACGTAGGACCAAGCACACACATGCATCAGTCCAAGTTGTCATAACTCATTAGCACAGCAAGACGAACACCGGATTCATAGAAGCAGTTAACTCAATGGAATAATATATAAAAGAAAGATTTTATGTAAGGATATAGTACAGGAAGAAAAAATTAGTTCGTAGAAAGAAAGATATGAAGCGATTTTAATCTCATAGTTTAAGGGAAGACAAAGAGTGTATACAACTACGCGATTGTGATCGATTGTGAGCCATGTCACCCAGAATCTCTATTCATTGATTACGATAGTCACGTGGACCCCAAGCAGATAGTCTGCATCTACTAATATGGCTAAGACTAGAAGTTAGTGACTTCAAGGACTGATGCCACGTTTTGGTTTGGTATCTGATCAGCCCAAATGGGTTGATGTCTGACAAAATCTTAGCACGGATTCGAAAAACTCGTTGGGTTTTTGCCGACTTACATCACGTATGGTGAAAGCGAGATATCCGTCTACAAATAAAGGAAGAGCATACTGCGCTGCAGTTAGTTCTGTTCCACTTTACGGCTACGAAGCGTAGCCATTAAGAATAGAGGATACTCGTAAGTTACTAGTATTTAACCACAGATGCCTTAGAAATATTGTTCGCATCTGCTGAGATCATCGGGTAAATAATAGCGAGGTTAGACCCAGGGTATCATATTTTTTCGTTAGTAA